CTTTGGTCCCAATTTCCAAAAAAAAAAAAAAAACAGCTATAATTTGACATTTTATTGGATAGTTACACTCCTCACAAAAAAATATTCAATGTGGATTGGCTTTTTTGGTATTGGTTCCATATAACCCTACCTCCAATTTTTTGATATTTCGATGGAGTTTTTATCCCAATTTCCAACAAAATTAGCTGTAACTGGACGTTCTTATTTGGTAATTTAAATTCTCTCAAAAAAAGTTTAATTTTGGTTCAAATTTTTTGTATAGACTCCATTTTCGGTTTTTAATGTTTGCCTTCCATTTTCCAATTTCCAGTTTCAGTTTCCTTTACATTCAATTTCGTAGGAAAATTTGTGCATCGATCATTTCAAAAAAAACTTTCAAGTTGTATCCACTAATCTCACTATGTCCATTATATTTTCATCGAAAATCATGGTTTAGTGGTTTCCAGAGTTCTAAGGGTACCATTTATGAACCATTTATGGTATTTTTCTCGGTAAGAATTCAAGCTAAACATGTGATCTTCATGTATAAAGTCATTCAAACTTACTACAGCCGACTCATGAGAGCTGACTAGCTATACAATGATTGCTACTTTACTGCTCTGTTCCAGAACTGCAAGAATGTAAAAGTTTTTACTACGATAACGGATTTGTCTTTTACCATATCGAAGAGATTGCAAAACTAGTAGATTCTTGCAGGTACTGGAAGGCATACAGGTCCACTCAGCCCTTGTATTGCAATTTTGTGTCCTAAAACAATTATGCGATGTTTGATAACAACGCCTTTCAGTTCAAGTCCTTAGTAAATTGAAAATTCTGAAGATATTAGAACATACTGAAATCACATTTCAGATCCTCATGCCGTAGGAAACTTGATTGGTACAAAAGGATGGGAGGGCTTTCCAAAATATTAGGATGTGGGTTTAAGAATTTTAAAAGCTTCATTTATGCGAGTTTTGAATACTAACCGCAGAAAATTGAAGATTCTGAGTATAATAGAACATACTGAAATCACATTTCAAATCCTCATGTCGTAGGAAACTCGATTGGTACAAAGGGTTCAGAGGGCCTTCCAAAAGTATGCTATATTATGATGTTGGTTTAAGAATTTTAAAACTTAATTTAGAGATTAAAGCTTAAGGCGAAGTTAATTTCATATCCCCACCCAACTTGTTTCAAAAATCAATAATTCTTCTTCTAAAAATGCTAAAAATGTCCAATCCAAGTCAAACCTCTACGAGAAAAAAACACTGTGATTCCAGTATCCATGAAAAATCTAGCGGCTAGCATCGTAAGACAACACCTAAAGGCAAGCAGAGCCAGCATATTCAATATCTGTCAACATTCCCACCATTACGCTGTCAGTCCAACATTTATTCCTTCGTATATGCAGCATCTAAATGAAATGCCAAAAATATTGTTGATATCAGCAGACATTTGCACTTTTGCCTAAGAAGATGAGAAAAAAGGCCATAGATATTATGAAACACATAAAAAAGAGGAAAAAACGAAAAAGGAAAGCAGAAATAAAAATATGTAGGACCATGCATTTATGCAAGCAAATTTGTTAATAGTCACAGTAACAGGGGGATAGAATGGCTCTTCCTTCGGTTGCACTTTGATAAAAACCCAAGTTCAAGATGTATATAGGCAAAATTACGCATCTGGATGATGTCTCCATAAGTTTTGGATCTTCACACACACATGTATACAAATTCTTAACAAATCAAACCTTCTCAAAGTCTTTTAATAAATTTAATAAAACTTTGTTTTCCTGCATGGTATGGGCAAATTCCCTGGGTTACAATAAATTGCCAGAAACATACATACATATTAAAAGAAATAAATCATTTAGAAAAAAAGTCAAACATAAAAATAACAAAACACAGTAAAAGAGAAAATGAAAACTGCAATATAAAAGGAGGCTGGCAAAACGACATCAAACTTGTTACAGCCATGGAGGTATGGCAGTCAGGCAGCATACCCTCTTACTCTCATTGCAGCCACTGCAGTCAGTCGACTGACTGAGGATGACGGAGGACTACAATTGCCACTCTCTCTTTTTGAGATTTCCCCAACATTTAAAACTCATACATTTTTCGTTTGAGCCGTAAAATGAAAAATGAGTGCATTTCATAAAAATATCTCAAAGCCACTACATCTGTGGTTAACCATTAAACCCACTAATCCATTCATATGCCAGCTAGTCATCCGCGCAAGAAACTGAGCTATCAAAATGTACAGTGGTTTCAGGTTTGTCAGTTTTTAGTTGTATGAGCTATCATGGGGTTAAGATGATTTTGTAACAGATTTCGTGCCGGATAGGATTGGCTAACAATTTGAAATAAATAAAAACAAATAATCACGTTTAAACCAGGGATCCTCGTTTGATCTTTTATGGATTTTAAATTAAATTGTGATCACACAATCCTGTAGGTCCTCATTCCGTTAGTTTGCACCACAAATGTTTCAAAGGAGTAGAAGTGAATAACATCGGGTACAAGCATATTCGACAAATCTCCTTTGTTCCATTTTTCGCACAGTGTAGTTTCACCAAACATTTTTGTACATCTAAAGAAATTATGGTCCCGTTACATTTCCATGCACCATAATTCAAAACTCCTTCATTTTTGGACACTGTCCAATGCCAGGAACTATGCACAATGATATGGAGGACAAAATGGTAAAGAGGCCATTACAAATATCGTAGTACACATACACACATAAACAAAAGCTTACACGAGCAGCTTACAGCAAGGATAAATTAGGACACCCATTACTGTGTGCAACGACACTGGAGATACATCGCTTCCACTACCGTCCATCCGTCCCTCCATTGTGTCATTTTCTTGGTCTTGATGTTGTGGTTGGTCTTTGTGGTTGGCTATTGTTTTGTTTTTATTTTCCATCGGGCTGCTTTAAACAACATTTTAAATTGAGGTTATAATTTTGCATGCAAGCCAAGCATATACATGCGAACACACACATTAATAGTACACAGAAAGGGGTAGAGAGAGAGAGTGAGAGAAAGGAAGGAAATGCATTCAAGCCTATTGACTTGATAAAAGAAAAGGTCGTCCTGTGGTCCTGGCTAACAGATCTTACAACAATTAATATGCAAAAGGCCATTTGTAGTAATAACAATGAATAATTATGTAAGTACCTGGGTGTTGTTATACCCTCCATGATGGTATCGAGGGTATATTCAGTTTCTCATTCCATTTGAAACACCTCGAAATGTATATTTTAGGCCCCATCAAGTATATATTCTCAGTATAAAATGCTATGTCGTCTAAGCGATGTCCGTACATCTGTCTGTCTTTCCGTCTGTGGAAATTACTCTAGCTTCCGAACAAAATGAAGTAGATTGATAAAATTTTATTCAGATGTGTTTTAGGTCTGCAGGACTTTTGGTATTGAAAATGGGATATATACAGGGTGAGATAAAAAATACTACAATAGAGTGAAACGCCATTCTTTTCACATTTTTTTTTTAAATTTTATTAACTGAAAGCAAAAAATGTCGGAAATAGCTTCAAATTTTAGAATAAGTTTTGATTTGTTCGAATTGGTCACCTTTTGGCACGAATTATGGCCTTCAAACGGCCAATGAAACCGTCACACGCTGTCCGAATGTTGCTTTGCAGTATTTTGGCCCATTCCCGGCGCCCCATAACTATATCTCCAGATATCCTGTATTTTGATGATTTGTGCCACACGTTTCATAGGCATTGTTTCAAATTTGGTATTTGGAGTGTATAATGGGTACCAACTCCTATGATACAAAATTGCATAGACGGGTCAACATCTTCGTATATCTCCCAAATAATTATACCCCCTATATTCAATATTTTGACCTTTTTAGTCACATGTTTCACCAGAATTATTTAATCTGGAGTTCGCAGTGGATACTGCCCAGAAATGGTACCTCCCAATAATCGTTATTTTTATGATTTTGGCAACATTTTTCAACAAAAATACCCTAAACTTGATGTTTTGAGTTCGTAATAGGCACCACCTTCTTCGTCTGTAAATGTCCTCGTTTTCGTAACCCCATATTGCCTGTAGAAACTAATATTCGGAAATTTTACATTTTGCAACTTCCTTCCAAATGTTAAAGGGTATTAAAAGTTCGGCCAAGTATAATTTAGCTGCTTTTTACCTGTTTGAATAAAAATAGTTAGAGGAGGACAGGGTCGTCAGGGCCACACACTTCGCATGACCAAGTCTTTCTTTTCGAAATGAAAACTTCAGGGATATCTTTCCCTCGAAATCTGTTTCAAGAAATTTGGCGTTTACACGACTGTCCAATTTGCTACGAATTTTCCTCATCCTAAGTGCATGACCTATATCGATCCTTTACTTTTTGTACCTCTCCTCGTAATATGCACTCCATATCAATGTTATTCAATACAAGATATCAGCTACAGCCTAAAATTTCTTTGAAAAAGACTTAAGTATGAAACAAATCCATTTATATATAGCATAAATATGCTTCACCCGATTCTATACCTCCTTCAAATTCAGTGGATATCGATTAGGATTAAGATATAACTTCCATATATATATTATTTATCTGATTCAAAATTTAAATTATCTATTCTAAGGTCGTAATGCGAATACATATTTGCATTTCCGTAATAATGATTGAGTGAAATCCCATAGTCGGCACTTCCCGCAGGTTTTAATGGTTTATATATGCTTCATTCGATTCTGTATTTAAGCCATCTAAAAGCCATAATACCGCCTTCAAATTCAGTGAATATCGATTATGATATAGCTCTCATATATTACTTTCATCTGATTTCAAATTTAAACTATCTCTACTTGACTGTGATGCGGTCATAGTTGCTTTTCGTAATGGTAAGGGTGAGTATCCCATAGTCGGCATCTCCGGCGTTTGGACTTTTCCTTACAGGTTTTATTACTATGGAGTGCTTTAACTGTTGGTCAATTTAAAGCACCGACTGCTCCAACATAACGTAAATTCATACACATTTACATTTCAAGTTCTGTCTTCACTTTATTGACTTTTCAAAGATTCGTTAAAAAAAATGTCTTAATACGACGAAGGATATGCTTAAAAAGAAATATAAACAAAAAACTTTTTTCTTCTCACATACAAACAGCTGGCAAAATGGAATGAATAGCAACGCCATTTCGTATATTAACCTCCATGTGAATGAGGCGATCATCATCAATACCACACGATAGTTCACCCGTTGGAACTTGCAGGGCCGAGAAAAATATTGAAGTCTTCTTACAGTCCACCGAACAGGAAGCCTCTATCTGATCTTTGTTCTTTTCGCCTTTGGATGGATTGATTTCTCGTATATCCAAATTTTTATATCTTGTGGTTATGGTGGCCATTTCCGTCTCAGCCACGAGATTCATTTCACCCGCAGATGTGGCATAAAATATGACCGTAGGCGATAGATTCTTTATCTTGTCGATAAGACCACGCATTAGACGATTCGAGGGCACATTCAAGACCAACTTGGAGTTGGGCTTCTGGGGCAGTTCATAATAATCCCATTCACCGCGTGGAATAACAGTCACCGGTACATCGTGTGCTGTTTGACGTGTCTGATTCGAGTTCTGTGTTAGAACATCTACCTCCACCCGCAGGCAAGGAAATTGCAAATTTATCAATTTCAATTTGCAGTGGCGGGCATTCGAACGCAATGATGAAAGCGCCCGACTCAGATTGGCCGGCGATGTTGAGAGCATTATTTTCGAATGATTACTGTCGGCCAATTCGATATTGTATTCGGAAAAATATAGCTTGGCATCAATGTCTACCCATACCAGGGGTGCGGTGGTTCCCGACTCTTCATTGGCAATAAAGTGAATTTTGTCTGGTTCAATGTTGATGACACACTCCTTTGTCAGCTTGGACAGTGTGACAATAATATTGAGAAATTCCCGCATATATCCGGCATTATCCATGACAGCTTTGAATTTCATTTTGATGTTTCGTTTTCTGTGTTCTGAGTTTACACACGTAATAATAAATATGGAAATAGGGAAATCAAAAACCCAATAGATTAAACAAACGAAAAACTGAAAGATAACTAAAACCTAGAAAACATTGCATACAATTTTCGATATTTTTCCGTGAGGTACAAAAGTCAAAATAGCAAGTAATGCCCGATTTACGGTATAAAAAGTTGCCTTTGGTAGTTTTTGTCCTTCTCTTTAAAAAGGGCCTTTGTCTAGTACAGGGTGAGATGAAAAACTTCAACCAACTTTAGAAGGCTGTCATTTCGAAGCCATTCGCCCGATGCTGTTAAAATTATTCCAGTGACAGCTTATTATATTGTTTACAAGCGTACAAAAGCATTTTGGTGGGAATTTTCCAGAAAAAAAGTTATTCGTGATGGTATTCAAGCGTGATAGTGTGATTTCTTTATATTTGGCTGGAAAACCACAAGTGGCTACCGTTAGAGCACTCCAGCATTTAAATGTGAACAAAACTTTGGTGTCTCGTACCATCGCTCGTTACCGTGATACTGATAGCGTAGCCCGACGTCAAGGAAGTGTACGGAAGAAAACACCAACATCAGCAGAAGTGGTTCGAAAATTAAAGAAGCGACTTGATCGAAACCCGCGTCGCAGTGGCAAATATTGAAAAATTAGCTCGGGGTAAAACCATTGAAATTCCAAAAAGTGCAAGAACTTGCACCGCAACAGAAAAAATAGACTCAAAAGAGATAAAGAGTTGTTTCGCTTGGCCGAAAGTGGTGAACTGCCGAATATGATTTTCTCCGATGAGAAAACTTTCGTTGTCCAGCAGTTTGTAAATAAACAAAATGATCGTGTTAACTTGCCAAAGAGGTCAGCTGAAAATGTGCACCGTCGGTTGGCTACCAGAACTCGAGCGCCGGCTATGGTGATGTTGTGGGCCGCCAAACAGCAGATGGTCACTCTCCGCTCATATTAATCGAACGTGGCAGAATGAATGCCGAATATTATCGCGAAAATATTCTGGAGGTTTTATTAAAGACTCAGCACCATCGCACTCAGCACGAATATGAGGTTCCTCGCTTCATTTCCAGCGCACAATGGCCAAAATCTCCGGATACCAATCCGTTGTGTCTATTGTGTCTGGAGAATTTTGGAAACCAAGGTTGGCACTAAAAAATACCAAAGTGTCGGTTTAATTGATCGTTTGAAGGTGTTAATTCGTGCCAAAGGTGACCAATTCGAACAAATCTAAACTTATTCTAAAATTTGATGCTATTTCCTACATTTTTTGCTTGCATTCAATAAAATTTAAAAATGTAAAAGAAATGGGGTTTTTGCTTTGTTGCATTTTTTTATCTCATCCTGCATAATAGTTCAATGTTAACGAATTAGGGAAAGCTTTAGACATTCATATTGATATTCCAAAATTAAATATGTACTATTGGTAGGTCAAAACGTGGACACATATATTATACCTATACTGAACGTTTGTTCTTAGGAGGTATTCGATTAGTTAAAATCACGTAATTAAGGCATGACTAATCCCATCAAAGCCACCAGTTACAAAGGTGGCACAAGGATGATGCATCTAATCATGTATCATACAAATTAGCAAAATGGCAACTAAAAACGCATACTGTACCTAAAAATGTTGAAACAGGAAGGGGCTGCTACAACATTTACCTAAATAGAAACTGCAAGTAATCGGATTAGATTAGGAAACGACTATTATTAGATATTTGCTCACCAAATATAAAACTGGAACCAAAACTTTTCGTGACTTTGAAAGTGGGATAAACTCTGCTGATATACTCAAAATATATTTTGGGTTCTGGTGTTTATCGTCTTTGCAATGGTTCAGCTAAACCGAACGCATTGCACCCTACCAATTTTTATAACTCCAAATATCCTTATGATTTTTGGAACCAGGGTCTTGAAACTGAACGTTCCGTTCCGTTCTTAGGTACAAACAAGTCCGTTCTCTCAAAAAAAATTTTTATCGTAATCAGAGTAATATAATCTTCCTCTGAAAAGAGGTTGAAAACTTTGGCTGATTTTACAGAACCAAAATTACTCCTGGAAATTTAACGGCATGCAAGTTTCAACCAGCGATAGCGTAAATTTAAATCTTTGTAACTAAGACATGTCGAGGTGCTAGAAGGGCCTAGAGAGGTTTGGCATTTTACTGCACATGATGTTCAGTAATTTCGAAAAACATTAAGGCTTTGAACCCCTATAAAAATGCTTTCTTTTAAGCAATTTCTTTATGTTGTGAAATTTAACCCGTTTTCATTTTTCCATGTTGTCTTTATGTATCAGCCTAAATATCCGCGACTTAGGATGAGAAGGATTTGGGTGTATACATGTAAACAGAAACTAACGCCATCAAAACGAGATTCATTCGTCGTCTTTTTTTTTTTTTTGCACGGATGAGGTGAAGTGTGACGAAGGATAAATGAACACCTTGAATTTTCAATAATGTTTATAGCCAAAAGGCCTATGACTGCCATCCCACCATTATGATTTGGCAAAATATGCAAACGTTTGAGCACATTGTTTTCGCTTCTTCTTGCCAAAGAATTATTATCAACAATTAGCGACCATATTTTGCTCAAGACACAATCGAAAGTGTTCCCCTCAGACCCCTTTCAAAAACACAAAAGTAATTTGAAGAATGACGCTTAAATTTTAAATAATTTCTTGGAAAACTTTATAAATTCCAATTCGTTGCATTTCCAATTGCCGTTATTAGTTGGAAAAAACTTACCTTCAATGGAAAATGCTTTTTTAATTGCAATTTTTATTGATTTTCTCGAAGCGAAGAAAAATATATTCACACTCAAATGTCAAACACCAGAGAACAACCAGAGATGGAAAGTTTTGTGCAGTGTGAGTGACAGCTTGACAGCTGTGCTGACTCCGCCATATTTGATTACTATGTTCCTACTGGAACATAATTAATGGGCTTACACCAGGCCATTGCTCTGTTCCAGAACCTTCAAGAATATACTCGTTAAGACATTTTTTCGATATCATAAAGGCAAATTAGTTATCGTATTAAAAATAAATAAAATATTTTGCTTTCATCCATAAAAGTGTCAAAGTTTGCTTAAACTTACGAAATTTTTATTGGACAAGGTTGTATAAAAAACAAATTTGTGGGCCGGTTGGGCGAAGTTTTGTCTCCGTTGTACAAAAAATCTAATAGATTCTTGCAGCTTCTGGAACAGAGCAAATTGTTTTCCTTTAAAAACTTGATGTAAATATTTATCGACATTTTAATTTATATTTTTTACGTTAGTTTCGGATGTAAAAATGTTCAAATTAAGAAATAAATAAGATTCTCACGGAATATTTTTTCCGTGATTGCCCTAATGTGTTTTTTCCTATGCCTCTTCAAAAATCACCATTTATGTGAGAGCTATGACTATATCTGCATCGATTCCCCCAAATTTGTCTTACTGGCTTTAAATCCGAATTCGTTTGTACGTGCCATGTTACATTTTTATTTGGACATATATTACGCATATAGTACATAATAAACTTGAAATCTGACGTAGATATATATGAAACCTATATCAAAATCTGAACCGATTATACAAATTTCATCTTGAGCAACAAATTCGAGCTCTTTTTTGAACATATGGACAAACGCATACATATTCATAAATCGTATACATATTCATAAGTCGACCAAAAAAGTTACCAAGCGAAGAGTACAATAAAAAGGTAAGGTAGGCAGCTATCAATTGATTACAATTTCTTTTTCTAGGTGTGCCCGGCTTCTGCCAATTTTGGGTATATATTTATTGTTTTGAAAAATAAAAACAGAATATTTTCGAAATCAAGGATTGGAAGACGCGTAAATTGCGAGACGCGCACTAGAGCTATTCGCCAGGTTTGCCATGGAATTGAAAAATATAACTGTTTAGATCATATTTTCGAAAGAAAATCCAGGCATTTCGTTCATTTTTCCGCTATTTAACTGATTTTAGAAATGAGGAAATATAATGAATATATTAAAACAACTTGCTGCATGCAAATTTGACAGGAAGCGGACATAGTTTCAGGGCTGTATTTCTGTAGTTTTACGGAGCTTTTCTACCTCCTTATTGTATCATGATTCTTCGTATATCATCAAAAATCACGAAGACAGGAATAGAAATTTATTAAAAAACAAAACATTTAAAAATTCAGTCTCCCATTGCTGGCATATCTACCGATTACATCGACAAAATAAACTTTAATCGATTCTCTGATCCAAAATAACATATCGATAATGCCATCGATTCTGTGCCAGCTCTAGCAAATATAGTAAATTGAGAAAATAGTAGTAGTGAGAAAGAAAAAAGAATGAAATTGCTCGCAAATTTAGGGGATAAACAATTATGAATGAAATCCGGGAAGAAAAGTGAACTGGAAGATTAGAAATCCCATTAAAAAGTGAACAAGAATATTTGCAGCAATAGAAAAATAAAATAATATCTCGTAATTGGGTAGTGGGGAATAACAGAAAAAAAGAAAAAAACTTTAAAACCGGCTACAAATTCATTTGTCTGAAGCAAAACTACGTGTGTTGTGTGTGTTTGTGTGCAAAAAATAAATTTGGGGGTGTTGTAGCTGGCTTTTTACAACTGAACACATAGGTAGTTTTTCCGAGGTAAATTGAAACTTTTTTTTTGAGAAAGCGATGTTGTATTTTACTTGATTTTTTATTTTAGATATTTTTACGGAAAAAAATCTTCTGTGGCAAAATGTACCCAAGACTCGTCTAAAGTAGAGAGAGCCCAAAAGCTCCATTGTTAAAGAGCCTGTAATTTTATTTGAGGAGACATCATGTTGCTGGCAACTCCAGGACAGACGACCACAACAGCATATAGTACATTGCACAACAACAGCAACAACACGGGCAGCAGTAGTACAACAACTCTAAACCCAGCAGCAAGAAAACAAACAGCTGTGAATATTTCCTCAGCATCTGCCAATCATCCACCACCAGTCAACAAACAAAACAATTTATCCTCAAATACAACATCTTCCACATTATCGTCTACGTCATCGACAAGCTTAAAAACCAACAATATCAACTCGCTTAAGAATCACAATAGTTTTCATTTCCAATCACCGACGATCCACAAAAATGTTACTTCTTCCAATGACACCAAGACCACCAACAATCAACCACAGCAACATTCCCTTAAAACTGGAGACAATTCCAAATCCTTATCATTTATAAATAGCCTAAAGGACACAGTGCAAAAGGTCTTTGTTACCACAGCAACAACATCCTTGGCCAGAAACTGTAATCAAACCACCAATATCGCAACAACATCATCCACAATAAAAACCACCAATTCCACCAACAGCGGCAGTACTACCGTTAATCACTATAATACCTCTAAGACGTCCACCTACACTTCATACTCCAACAACAATAATGTCACCTCCTCATCGTCAACGGCATCATCATCATCATCATCGGCAGTAGCCAATACGATTTTATCTGCCACAGTGGCTCGCAAGAAAAGCTCTACCCAAAATCTTGGAGTACAACCGAGATTACACACCATACCACCAACAATACTGCATCGGTGTGCAGAGGAGAGACAAAAAACTAGCAGCACCGATAGTCTTCGCAAGGAAATGTGCCATTTCAAACCGATACGTACGGAACCCACAACGCCATGGAAAAGGTAGGTTAACTAAATGTATATAGGGTTTTAAACATCTATTTACTCATCATGTATCTTTCCAGCGGTAGCAAATCCCGTGGCAGTTCTCTGCGTTTTCCCAAAGCAAATCTTGCCACCAGAACAAATGAATTTATTTTAAAATCGAACTGTGATGTTAACAATAGGAAGAAGAAACTATCTTCAGCAAAGATAGCTCAGAATGAAAGACATGAGACTGGCGATGGAGACGATGGTGATAATGACAACGAGGAACAAGAAAATAGGGAACATTATGAACATTTTAAGCCAAATCCGAGGTTTGGAATTTAATTTTGTATTTCATTTAACAGTTTATTTGATATTTATTTTTTCTTTCTCCAGCACACTCCATCTGTTTGCCGAGTGCGAGACTCCAAATCACCAATCGGCATTTGTTTGTTTGGTGGCCCACATGAAAAATTTAATAAATATTCAAACAACAAAAGTGGGTGCAGGAAAGGCTACTGGCGGTGACATGGTGGTGGATGGTGGTTCCAGAAACACACGAACTTTACGCACAAAGGACAAGGAATACCCTATACAAATAAAAAAGAATATGGATATACCCATGACGGAGGTCTGTTTGCGTTCTAATCGTTTCAAATCCCCAGCACCACCCATGAGTATTGCTAAGAAATTGGATCCCACCAGTGGAAAAAATAAAATGCAATCAAACAACAATGTGTCAAATAAATCTATTACCAACAACACCAGTGAATTTTCCGGAAGGGTAACAAAGGCTAAAGCTCGTAGTAAACAATTGAAAGGTGCCAAAACAGAAATTGTTAAGTTGGTAAAAGAACAGATGCGAACATCAGCCACACCGGCAAAGGATGCTGGACATCCAACTGCTGCTGTACGTCAAGCAAATACAAATCAAAGGAACACACGTAAACGTAAACTCACACCAGAAGTCAGCAGCAGCAACAGCACCACCACCAACAGCGGTAAGTCATCAACGACATCCTCTAATAAAAAGGACAATTTTATTGTACCACCTACACCCACATTGAGATCAATGACAAGATCTAGCAGAATGGCAAAACAATCGATGGATGTAAGTGCAGTTGAAAAGAGTTCTGAAACTAATTGCAGTAGGCTAGGCGCTAAACATCGTATTGGCAGTTTTTCACCACCTTTAACACGTTCACGACTGAAGCAAATTATGGGCCCTGAACAAAGAGACCCACAACTAAAACTATTCTCACCAACCGTAACTGCAACCAATGTTAGGAAGCGCAAGCGTTAAACATTTCCAGAATTTGTTAAATGAAAGATATATTTTTTAAAAAACAAAAATACCCACAAAAAACATTTTTGGCAAACATTTTTAATATCACCTTGAATGGAAAGGCCAAATAATACATATTTGATAATTAAAACAAAAATACTCGGATTTCAAAAAGGACATATTTTCAAAGCTGCTCCTCAAAATTCAAGTTGAGCTTTGTAGTAGCGAAAGTTGTGATTAGAAGACTTTCAATCTATTGAAACTTTCAACGTTTGACTAATAAAAATTGGAAGCCTTTTCAAATTGGGTATAAACCCATTTTTATTGGCTTGACATACATGTGTTCCAGTGGAAGTTAAACAAGAATTTAAATTAGAAAACTATCTTTTCCCCTACTATTTACTATTTCATACCAAAAAATAGCACATTTAGTAAACTATTTCTCAAAAAAGCAATCGTAACTAAGATTTTAAAAAATTTAAGTTTTCGGATTCTTAAAATACATACTCAAAATTGGTGTTGTATGTAATAATATGCATACACAATACAGGGTGAGATAAAAAAACTCCAACAAAGTCAAACGCCATAATTTTTAAATTAATTTTTTACATTTTATTGAATGAAAGCAAAAAATGTCGGAAATAGCATTGTCCAACAGTTTGTAAACAAACAAAATTATCGTGTTAACTTGCCAAACATGTCAGCTGAAAATGTGCACCTTCGGTTGGCCACCAGAACTCAAGCGCCGGCCATGGTGATGGTGTGGGCCGCCATAACAGCCGAAGATCCAAAATTAAAAAAAAAAAATAAAAATTATGGCGCTTGACTTTGTTGCAGTTTTTTATATCACCCTCTATATATCTTTTAAAATTGTTATGAATATCGCCGAAAAAGAATTTTCGCAAAAACAATTTCCATTGATATTGGCTTTAGAATTTAAAAATTAAAAAATAAGTATTTAAACTTTTCACTTTTCTTTTAAGTTCTCCCAGTAAAATATATTATATCTTTTCCATTTTGTTAAACAAAATTGTTTCTCAAACAAAAATTTTAAGATCTCATTCCATTCGGCTTTTCATTCAAATGTGGAGGTTAATTCAAAATTATCGAAATCCCTATATCCCATAATATTTATAATAATAAAATATAATTTTTAAATAAAAAAATAATACTTTAATAATTAGCATATTAAAGAAAAAGTATAAAGTATTAAAGACATCAACAAAAATTAAACTCAATTATTTTTAAGAAACAATGATTAAATAAAAAAAACTTAAAATCCTAAAAAATAAAATGCAGCTAAAAAAAAGAAAATGGAAAACAATATTCCCGATTCAATGAGTAGAGGAAAGAAAACAAAACTTTATACATGTGCATTTTTGAAAAAAAAAAAAAAAATAAATAAAATAAAAATATAATAATACAAACACTCAACTTAATAATGAAGACAAAAATAGCAGTTTCTTTTCTTAACTCTGTATTAGCAGCAACATCATGAATATAACGAAGATTATATAAATACAAAGCATTCAAAAAATGTAGTGATAAACATAAAGTTTTCAACAAGAAATACAAATTATAAAATATGAAAATAAAATATTTCCTATAAATTATTTATAAGTTAATATATGTTTTATTTTTTTCATAATCCTAAGTAATTGTTTTTATTTTTTTTTTGCCTTACCACATAAGCAACAATATGATGATTTTTAATGTGAAAACAAAAAACAAAACCAACGGAACAAAACTATTGTGTGTTGTGATATTAAATGATGAGAAATGTTTCTTTATTTTATATTAGTCTTTAGTCCTATTTATATACAGGGTATGCAAATTTAAATACGCATACCCTCAGCAAACATTAATTAAAATGCAATTTTCTCTAATTTATGTTAAAATATAATTTTTACATATTAAACAACAGTTAAGCTATTTAATTTATCTTTTTTTTTTGGTTTTGAAAACATGCAAAAGCCCATTTAACAAAGATAATTTGATTATCTTTGTAGAAATCGATTTGAAAAACTAAAAAAACAATTGTAATCTCTCTTTTTTGAATTTGTTTAGAATTTTTGCAAAAAATTAATAATTTCGTATATTTTTAACAAAAGAAAACAAAACACAAAAAATATAAATTAAAATCTTTGCCCTGATAATGGCAAAGTTTAGAAACTCTCCCCAAATGAAATAAAATATTTGGGTATTCTTAAACATTTTTAAATACAATTACATCATACAACATAGTTTGTAGCAAAAGAAAGGCATATTGTAAAAGTCTAAATGAATAAAAATAATAAAAAAAAAAAAACATTAAAGAACACAAATAAAAATCTCAAGAAGACATAAACAACACTTACAATTTGAATTATAAATACCTATATTAAAAACAAACAAAAAACTATATCTAAATATGTATAAAATTAATAAGCCACTACTTAATACAAAACAAAAAAAAAAAAAAAACAATTAAAAATAAATGCAAAACAATGAACAGTTTAAATGGAAATAAAGCTTGGTTTTGTTGAAAGGTGAATTTGTGAACAATTGGTAAATACATCTAATATTCGTTGAGGCTTCCAGGTAATAATGCAGCTCCGCTAGAATAAAGTCGATAACCTGACTGCAAACCTGAAATAATGATGGGCGTCCTCTTCATGTGACGACCAGCACAGACTTTTGGATAATTTGATGGCGCCGAAACTCCGTCTATCTAAAATAGGGATATTTCATTTGAGACTCTCCCTTAGACTCCCTGACTGTCCATGAATGGTTATTTAATTAGTAGTTTTCCAATATATTTATTGGACTTACCACGATCAAACAGCTATGCTCCCTAGAGGCGGAAGCCAATAATTCTATAAAAGTCCACTATTTGCCATTGCAACAAATATAAAGATATCTCCTGATATTCGATATTTCGAGACAAATTTGGCGAACGAAAATCCTATAAAAATTTTTTGTATGCAGATCCATGTCTTTGTATAGCCCCATATAACGGTATCTCCCTATATTCGGTATTTTGATGACAGAACAAACATAATTTGCCGAAAATCGTTTAAATTTCGTACTTGAAAATCTTAGTGGGTACTACAGCCTATGACAAAAAATTGTAAATCCAGCCTCACGTCTTTGTATAGCCCCCATTTTTCGGTATTATTTGAAAATTTGCATGTTCCTTCCAAATGGTGGAGGCTATACCTTCCACTTTGAAAATGAGGGTACATTAGCTTTATCATTTCGTTTGTAACATCCCCAAATATTCGTCGTAGACCCCATGAAGTATATATATTCATAATCAGCCTGAAATTCTAAGTCGGTTCAACGATGTCCGTCTGTCTGTTGAAATCACGATATAGCCCACAATATTTGATGTAGAGCTTCAAAATTTGGTAGAACAATTTGTATTGTATTCGGTCTGGTATTGAAATCGGTCCACGTTTTGGTATAGCCGCCATATAACGGAACCTCCCGATATTCGGTATTTTGATGATTTTCGCCACATTTTTTCGCGGATTTGTCTAAAAATTGGTATTTGTAGGTCACAGTGGGCTCTAGCACCGGCATTGTATGCATAGGGCCCCGTTTTGGTATAGCTCCCATATAACAGTATCTCCCTATATTCGGTATTTTGACGATTTTCGCTACATTTTTCGGCGGATTTGTTGAAAAATGGATATTTATAGGTCATAACGGGATCTAGCTCCGGTAGCGCAACATTGTATGTACAAGTGCACGTTTTTGCTTAGTTTCCACCGGTACCTTCCGATATTCGCTTTTTTATGATTTCTGCCACATTTTTCCACGGATTTTTCCAAAAATTGGTATTTGTAGTTCGCAATGGGTTCTATCTCCTGTGGGAGAAAAAAGTATGTAAAGGCCCACGATTTGGTATAGGCCCCACATAATAGTACCTCCGGATATTTAGTATTTTGATGATTTTTGCCACATTTTTCCACAGGTCCACGTTTTCCTACAGCGCACATATAACGATACCCACCGATATTCGGTATTTTGATAATCCAAGTCACATTTACCCGAAAAATTTTATCAAATTTTGGTATTTAAGAAGATTTGGCAGATGACAATCCTTGCAGTATAAAATTGTTCATAGAGGTTCCCATAAAACGGCCTCACCCACTCCTTGGTTTTTGAAAATAATTTTATAAAACTTTTATAAAAAAGGTAAAGGTGGAGGGTATTAAAAGTTCGTCCCCGCCGAACTTAATGTTTTTTTTTTTACTTGTTTAGTTTTTTATTGTTTCGATGTCATAAAGGGAAAATTTTGGTATCGTAGTAAAAAAATTTACCATTTTCGAATTTTGGGTTTCAAATTTACTTCCATTATTCATTTCAAATTTATTTTAAATCTAAATACAACACCAAGTACAATTTTCATTTAAAACATGTATTTGAAATTTTAATCCACATAAAGAAGAGCTTTACTCCTCCTCCACCGTAATCATTTGCTGCGGCAGTATATCCCATAGATCTTTTAATTTATAATTATCACGTATACGTTCCATGGCAAAGCCCAGCTCTTTACAATAGACTGGTTCGCGGGGAGGTTTTTCTTCGCCCACCATCAGACTGCCCTCCGCCAAATAGGTATTCAATTTCGAATTAATTTCCTTTTCTTGACGTTCGTCGATCTCTTGAAATTCCTCGACTTTAAAATCTTTGCGCTGCATTAGATCACCCGCCGAACGTTTGCGCAGATCCGGCGAATCATAAACAATACCAAAATTGGGATTTTCCGTGTAGACGGCATGTAAGGATATTAGTTCTTTGTAAATTTCCGTCAAACGTTCCGTGGGATCGATGCGAAAACCCAGAACATAGCCACCACCTGTTTCGGCTGTTTGTATGACCAAGGCCGGGCCATATTTTGATTCTCGAATGCGTATCTGTAATGGCAAAAGGGCATTTTTTTTTAGAAAAAGATTGGGTATCTTCGAAAGGGAAGGATCTCCTCACATTGGCTATTTGCATATAGGGTAGACTTATGTTAAAGGTCTCATTGGCATCTGCATACCACACTACCCGAATATTGGTAACCACAAAACAGCCAAGATTTCCCTGGTCACTGCTTAGATTCCAAACACCATTGACTTTATTGATAACCTGCTCTTGTGGTAAAATAATCAATTGGCCCGATTGTAAAATGGCTCCTCGTAGTTTCAAATCACGATACAAATAGGTTCGTTGATATAATCTATAAAGAAGGAGTTGGATTTAAAAAATGCATTACCTCAAAGAGTAAATATATTTTAATAAAATTTAATTTGTATCGGTTAGTTCTGCGGACAGATGTATACCCCCAGCCTTAAGTTATGATTATTCTATTCAATACTGTCTGTAGTCTTTAGAGTATTTTTGCCTTCTACACTTACTGGTAAATATCGAAAACACTTTGAAATATGGGCGTATTTTTTCTCTCAGTTTCACCCGAGACATCGGTGAAAAGGAACTCGAAACGTGTATTACCACCAATGGCCAGAATGTATAGAGCCAAACAGTTTCCACGCACCTTAGTGCTAGTCATTTTGGTGTTCATATTAGCAATGCGTCCATAACCAATGGCTAAAAGAAGGGAAATCGTTTCAAAACTCTTAACAAATTCATTAAAAATTTTTGACTTACATAAATTGAATTTCTTGTGTACCAATGAATACCATATCAATCTCAAATTGGTGGCCAACAAACGTCCTGAATCGCCAGGATTGCCTTTGGTATCTTCTATGTAATAAATTGTTGATATTACCTGTTCGCCATTGCGCAAATGTTTTTGCCTAGAAATATGGGGAAAATTAGTTTATGAAAGTAATTTTTCTTGAATTGCAACCTACACATTTGGAGTATCAAATTTGATTTCTTTATCCTTCCACAATAGATTGAATGGTTCCAATGACTCCATTGGAATTGTTTGTCTAACAAATGTTGAATGCAGAAACAGTTTGATGCCTTTTTTTGAGAGAGTTAGTTCTTGTTTCAATAGAAAAATTTAGTGGTTTCCTTCGGCCAATGTCGTTGCTAGGCAACGATATGTTCGCAACAAAGAATTTAGTGGTACGTAGGTGGTAGATGTCACAGTAGTACTCTATAGAACAATTTCTATGTTGTGAATCTAAAATTAGATATGATTCCAAAGCCGATTTCGAGAGTCTAACAGGCTTCAATTTCATCTTCTTCCCTACTGCCTTTTTTGAGGCCCCCGGCTCCGTAGACCTAACCTCAGCTTTTCCTTTCCTTGTTTTGGAGAGTGGCACCATCGGCTCTGGCACCTCAGAGTCCTTTTTTTAAATGATTCTTTGTAACAGGCTCCATTGACACCACCTTTCCAAACGACCGGCGTTTTGAGGCCTCGACTGGTTCCACCTCTGTTTTGTATGTGTGGGTCCTGCTTATCGGGAATCCCCATAGAGTTAATTTAGGATATGCCCTCTTGAACTTGCTTACGAACTCCTGATAAGCTGCAGCTTTTTATCAGTAAGCTTTAATGGATACTCATCGACATATCGACTGCAGTAGTTTACTGCTGGCCAATATGCCTTTTTATCCGTCATATCCTTGGATTTATCGCTCTTGGTGTCGGGAGAGCTCGGCGGCACTTCCATTTTATCATCCTCTTCTACCTCGATTGCCATCGGCCTTGAGGGTGTGGACTTGTCGGTATTTACATCGGATGGGTATTGGGGGCGCTAGGACTATTCAGGTTGACTTTCTTGGGAGGCAAGCCCCGATTATAGGTCGAAGCCTGGACTACCGTGGCTCAATGTCCTCTTCCTTATCACAGAGGGTGGTTTTTCACAAGTCTACAGGGATACTGTCCTGACTCAGCCCTAACGGTCCCACATCCTCAATGATCTGGCGGATTGCTTGCTGCTGTCTTTTAACGCTGACAAAAGTCAGATCATTGTCTCTTCCCAGGCGTTCCGTCCACTTCGTCCTGCTAGTGGTAGCCCGATATTAAGGTTATTTTTGTTACGGTTGAGGTCAGCTTCGGCCTTGTTGACTGAGGGTGCAAAAGGTATCCTTGGTGGGTGGTTTTCTAAAAGTCTACAGGGATACTGTCCTGACTCAGCCTTAACGGTCCCATATCCACAGTAATCTGGCGAATTGCTTGCTGCTGTGCTTTAACGCTGACAAAAGTTAGATCATTGTGTCTCCCCAGGCTTTCCGTCCACTTCGCGATGCTAGTGGTAGCACAAAATCCTGAATCGCTGTCTGAGCCCGAGCCCAGTCATTTTTGTTAAGATGGAGGTAAGCTTCGCACTTGTAGCATTGTTGACTGAGCGTGCCAAGGCATCAATACCAGCATCAGTCGAAATAGGGTTGGTGGATTTTGGGGGAGGTATTTTAAAATTTCAACTTCATACGTCATAGGACTGAGGTTGGGCATGCCAAGGACTCGATAACTAAGCCTTATATTCGTTGAGGCACCCTCATATCAATGAAGCTTCATTACAAAGCAATCGGTACCCTGACTGCAAACCTGAAACGTTGATGGCCACGTAGTCGCAGAATAACATTTCAGCATTAGAGGCTCCCTTTTATGTGGGGATCTGCCCATAGGTTTGGCTATCTTAGGGGCTCCGAAACATCCCCTCGTCAGTCTAAGGATCATTGGCACTTGGATATGGTGTTTTTCTCTCGTATTCAGATTTGTATCGCCACAGAAAAACGTTGCCCTAATTCTTTTAATTGAAATAATTTTGATAAGTTTTTTTTTATTATATTTTTCTGGATTCTTTTATTCATTTATCTTATATAAAATGACTTTAAATTGTAAAAAAAATCTTATCTCATAGTATATATATATTTCTTGAAACAATATATTCAGCATTATTATCTTTAGGTAATGGAAAAAATGCTCGGCACTTATATGCATGTCAAAATTTGTTGTAACTAAGCAAGGAGAATTTTGTAAAATAATTAGCCAATAAATAAACTTGTCTTTAAATATAAGTATAGAAAAGTTTTAAACATTGGAAACGCTTGAATTAAATACAAAATATATGTATCAATAATGGTTATCTTTAATACAAACAATAATTAAGCAGATATAAGAAACACAAATATTTAAAAAATATTTTGACATAAGAAAACTATTTCATATAAGGAAAATATAGATTTTTGTATAAAGAAAGCACAATGTTAAGGTTTAGATAATAATATTGCATAAACACAAAGTGTTCAAAACGTCTGTTGCCACATAACATATATTTCTCTGTAGTGTAGGGTAATGAAACAATTGCAACATTGTTTACTTGTAAAAAAAGTAACAGAAAGTTGAGGTAAAAAAGAGCTTGTTCTAATATCGCCCTGCGGTAATATATTCCTCCCATTTACTGTAAGCTAAAACAACTTCCAACTAATCATTAATCTAGGGTGTATGTCCTATGTTGTTTGTTTACACTCTACATTATAATCTGAGGTTCTGGCACACTGGCTGCTATACTTTTATGCGGCAGCACTTGTCCACCATTGATGTAGATCTCATCTTTAACAATGACATCTTCACCCAGCACCGTGGTACCCTCCAGTCGCACCCAACGGCCCACTATTGAACTCCAGCCCACAATGCAGGAATCCAGCCAGGAATGTGACTTGACAATAGCTCCCTTGAGTATTGTTGAGCGTTTTATGCAGACACCATCTTCGATGACAACATCTGGCCCAATTGTCACATTCGGACCGATTCGACAGCCTTGGCCAATTTTGGCAGTAGGATCGACAAGAACATTGCCAACAACTCCGGGGCCTGTGTAAAGATTTGCGGGTTGTTTTTGTCGCAAAGAGTTAAGATAAAGACACATTCCTAAAAAAAAAAACAAAGAAAAATGTATGAATGTGGGTGTGTGTGTGTGTGTGTGTGCGTGTAGAAACAAGTACACTTAAAGATAATAGCATAAGATACAAATTAATGATTTCAAAATGGAATCTGACAATGCAATTAGTTGGTTTGATAAGATAATAAGAATTCAACGAAATCAAATTAGCTTTTGTAAACTGATAAGAATTAAATTGTATTGTTTTTTGTTATTCTGGGAATTAATTTAGAGGCAGGGATCGCTCACAATACATACGAAAATTCGACATTTTACTGTGTACACCATTTAATAACCTGGTTAATTTTTTGGCACTGAGAATTTTAGGGATTATCTTCTTTTTATACCCTCAGCCATATGATTGGAGAGGGTATATATCATTTGATAGGCCAATACGTGCCTCATCGAAATAACGGTTTTAGACCCTAGGTATCTTTGGACCAAATCCGATTCAGGACATTTGGAGTCGATCTAGGGATGTCTGTCCGTCCGTCTTCCTCTTCGTCTGGCTGGTGCACACGATAACTTTCGAAGGGAGTATCCGATTTGGTCCAAACTTTGTACATCGTAATATTTTTGTCAAACTTAGATCATGTTCGGAGATGGGTAATATCGGTGCTCTCCTTCTGGTATCTCCTCCATTATTTGCATCAGTGCTAGGTCCTTCTCCACAAAAGATCAACATTTTGAATATTCAAGAAGCTCATAAAATACGAAAATATCATTCGATTCCATTCAGACTTGGCACATCTCAATATATCTATCAACACAAGATCTGTTATAAAGATGGTAGAGATCGGACCATTCCTACTGGTACCTCCCCCACAAAGGGTCGAAGTTTTGAATAATCAAAACAATCATAAAATCGGAAATAAGCGTCTGGTTCTCTTCATATTAAACACATCACAATATTTTTATTAACCCTAGGTCTGGTGTTAACATAGGATGTATCGGTTTACTACTTCTGGTACCTTCCCCACAAAGGGTAAAAGTTTTGAATTTCCATGGAGCTCATAAAACGCGAAATTAACATTCGTTTCTATCAGACTTGGTACATCTCAATGTTTTCATTAACACAAGTTTTGTAATAAAGATGGTAGAGATCTGACCATTTCTTCTGGTACCTTCCCACATAGGGTTCAAGATTTTTGAAAAACACATTTTCTAACAATTTGCACATATTTCATACAGAGTATAGGAAGTAGTCGATACCTTCCAAATCTGGCACGTTGCAATATTTTTTTTTTCAGTCTTAGGTCAGATACAAATTGGTCAATATTGGCCAACTGCTTCGGAACCTCCCCCATAAAGGGTCAACAGTTTGAATCATCATAATTCAAGGCTGGAGGTATAAAGCTGTCGGCAAACCGACTGATAGTATTTTACTTGTTTATCTTTCCTTCATGAAATCAAAGACCAATTTTAAATTCTACAAGAGTCTTAAATTACCATACAATAAGTCTAATGGGTCTAAAACGTTTATCGTTTGCACCAGTTCACTTATTACATCTATTTGTATTTATGATTTCCTTACTGCTCTCTTGTTAGTTTCAAATAAGTATATAGGTGTTCATTGTACGCAGTGAAAGAGGTCATGCATAAAATAACACCTGTTAACATGTTTTCTTTATCAGTAAAATATCGAAAACAAATTTGAAATTAAACTAAAAAAGTCATCAACTCTCCCGGAAATTACTGACATCAAAATAGGTTCCAATTTCGAAAAAATAAAAATCACACAAACAATGCATATAGCATAGATAAAAAAATGTGTGATGGTTTAAATAATACGTTCATGGGTTCATTCCCAGAATGATATCTTATCTAGGCCTTTAAATAATGGCACAAATTTTAGTTAATGATTTTCATGAATGATTCACCAGCCAAACGGTGAAAACCCTCTTGAAGTCACGGAAAGCTTTAAGATCTGATAAAACACTAGACATAATGAGATGCAAACATTTATCTCATTCAGCAAATACAATAACATTTCCTCTTACCAGTTAGAAAATCCTTTGGCTGTCCAATATCCATCCAGAAGCCAGGCAATTCCATTGCATACAATTGATGCTCTTCCGCCATTAGCGGGAATACTTCCTTTTCTATTGATGTGGGTTTCACTTCAATGCGATCCAACACAGATGGATTGAATATATAAATGCCGGCATTGATTTTATTGCTTATAAATTCTTGGGGTTTTTCTATGAAACTCTTAATGCAACCATGTTCATCGTACAGAACAACACCATATTTAGAGGGTTCTTCCACTTTGGTCACAACTATTGTGCCCTCCTTCCCATGATTGCGATGGAATTGCTCCAATTGTTTGAATGGAAAATCACAGATCACATCAGAGTTTAGAACATAAAATGGTTCAGGACTGGCACTTAGAATATGTTTTGCCAAGGCCAGGGGGCCGGCAGTGCCCAAAGGCTCTGTTTCATGGGAAAAGATTAGCTCAACACCCAACTTTTCTGCCTCAATTTTTAATTCTTTTTCCATTTGCTCGGCGCGATATGAAACAGCCAATATGACCTACAGAAAATAATACATTTTTGAGTATGAATCACTCCAATATTGCATAATTGCAATATGCAAACTCACCTGGGTACATCCCGCACTAACCAAGGCCTCCAATTGATGCAATAATATTGGCTTGTTTGCAAACTCCACCAACGGCTTTGGCGTACTCAAGGTCAACGGACGCAATCTGGTGCCATAGCCACCAACCAAAATTAAGGCTCTCGTGCCTTTTGTGACTTGAGGCGATGACCCACACATGACGACGACAGACGATGTTATCAAAATAAATACTCTGTGAAAATATTGAATGTAAAAAAATCTCGTTTATGACACGTCAGACTTTTGCAGTTGTTTATTCTGTTTGTTGTATTTTCACTTCACAATTTTCCTTCCTCCCCTTAGCACAATAAAAAGACCAACTGCCAGGCGTTTTTTCTTTTCTCTTGTATAGTATTTCCCAACCAACCAATAAAACTGGTCGAACAACAACAATGACCCAGTAACGATAAAAAACCAACTTCGTTCCAACTGATAAGAAAAGTAGTTTAATCAATATTTTGGTTGGTGTGCGCTTTTTTTTGTTGTTGCTTCTTGTTTTGTGTGCCGGCATATGATTTTTGAGATGATGATCCCCCCAATTATTTCGTTTGTCTCTTCGCGTCTATTTGTTATTGTCTCTCTTTCGCCAGTATGCTCCCTGCTTGTAAATTGCATGGGTGATGGCTGCTGGCCCCAAAAAATAATCAGCTCCAAAAACAACAAACCAATCAAAAGATGTCACGTACTGTTTGTTTGATATTCCACAATTACAGCTGTCAAACTTATGGCAAATATAAAAATATAACGTTTATTTGTTTAAGGATCTTCCACTATTGAAATATTATTTATTGTTAAAGTGTATAAATATATATTTAAATATTATTTTCTAGCTTTATGGCGAGCTTAACAAAAACAAAGTATATATTTTATTGAACTCTTCTTCTTTTTTCCCAAATGACAATGCAATGCAAGAAGGAATGATAGCACATGACTTATGAATATTAGGTGTGGCGATTTTATGCGTAAAATTCATGAAAGTATTATGGTGTTTCCATTGCAACTGATACGCTCTCTATTTTTTGTTTGACCCATGGTAGAAGAATATAGGTAGACGCGTCGACACAGCTGCTGGGACAATGAACTGTCAAACCAATTTTGGAATTGAAAATGTTGAATGAAAAATTATTTAAATTTGTAAAAATTGTTGAAAAACGCGAATTATAATAGCCTCCGGATGACGTAATATAAGAAAACATATAAAAATCTACTTATATTTGAAAAAACATTTAAATTTTTTTGACATATCAATGCTCCCAAGCGTTGATGCATCTACCTGTATTCTTCTGCCATGGTTTGACCCTTAAATATGGAAAACCGACTTAATACATTGAAATACAAAAAAAAAAAAAAAATACATTGTTCGAAAAATTTAATAGAATTTAAAAAAAAATCGAATAAATGAAAATTATGAATAAAATGTATAATTTTATTAAACTTACATTTGAAATAATTTGAAAAAAAAAAGTCGAATAAAATAACTAAAAATTAAAAAATAGAATGTATAATGTCGAACGTCATATATAATCCATGGTAAAAATAAAGAGTAAGCTAAATCCCCGACTACCTCTATTTTTTACGAATGAGACATAAGGTGTGTCTGGTTACTTTTTCTGTAGGAATTGTCCAGCAGTGAGGTAATTTTATTCTCTTTGGCAAAAAAAAAAACTCGGAAAAGTAAACACACGGAATCCCTGCAAAACGTGCGAGCAATGAACTGTTTTGTCTAAACAAAACAATTTGTCCGCCATGAATTTGCAGAACTCTTGTGATAACAGACGTTTTCCAGTAACAATTTACAACAATTATTACAAATTTTAAGGTAATCAGATACATCTATGAGAAAATACGAAATCAGTTGAATACATTTGAAATACCACAAATGGGTTCTATAGATCGAAAACAGAAGTCATTAGGGTTCTCTACCACACATAATGAGCCGATTATTATTTGTTATCGAATACGATATCGATAAACAAATTAGTGCTAACGTAATGTGAGAAACAGATGAGCTTATTTGAAAAAGCAACAGTATTTTTTAATGACTCCCAAAAGTTAAATAGACTTTTTTCCAAAAATAAAACAAAAGTAGGAAAAAGATGTGTGAAATTTAAATAATTATTAAACTGCTCCTGTTAAAAGTGCAAGAAACCAGACACAACAATTGTTATATCCGTTCCTCTGCCTCTTGGGATTGGGAAACAACTTGCCATGTGACATTCATCATATAAAAAGGCGGGAACATCTGTTAGCTCTATGCAATAACGACAACGACATTGTAACGGTTGAAGTTCAGCAGTGAAATACAATTGCTAAAAATCTTGAATGCCTTGTATATGGCGCTAAGCAAAACTCATTGTATGAATGGGCATAAGAAACACATCCATATTGGACAATAATGCACTAAGCAGCAGAGCCGAGCGTTCCATGCCAAAATTGAAATGCTTATACCCACCATTCACCAGCCACATTTGGTTGGGTGGACACCACAACGAATGCACAAATAAATGCAACGGAGGCAAAAGGCAAACATAATCGTCCCAACGTATAGACGATATATGATGACATATCGCATCATAGTTCAAACGGCAGGGAATACTTCGATCAATTTTCTACACAGCAGGCGCCATCTTTTCGTATGGCTGACGATGAATCTCCCCGTATGCTTTGTGTCTTCGATTTTGTCGTCGCCATGGAAAACTTAACTGGGAAAATAACGAGGTAGGTATGCATTTTAGATTGTCAAATTGTCAAAGTTTCCAAATTAAAGATACATATTCCTTTTTAATTTAGGCTAGTCCTTTAGGAGGAGGCAATGCGATTCTACAGGATGTGTGGAGGTAAGCATGCCATAAATAAATCAGAGTCTTTGCTCTCAAGCAATGTTTACATATCCCAAGTCAAAATGCAATTTAAATTTACAAACATTCTTATCCCTTTTGAACTTTTTTAAGTTTGAAGTGACTGATCAGAATATGCACATTTCCACACATTCAAGAAAAGGGTCCATAATTTAAAAGCAAGTCTATCCTTAGAGAATATATTTAGCTGAGTTACCAAACTGATCAAACCAACTACGTCTCATGAGAAATACCACAGGTATCCTTTGATTCCATTTAGCCTTAGCCCCATAGTATGCGTACTGTTACCGTGTGTGCGTGTGTGGGAGCAAATATTAAGCAGGGGATACTGCCAAACAGCCCCCAATATTTACAAGCATGAGAAGCCGGCAGACAGACAACCCGACAAGTGATTACCGACTACACTTGTGTTAAAAGCGAACAAAAACAGAAAGGAACTCCAGCATATGCTTCTGGTGAAAAATATTCAATTCAGTAAACAATGTTTGGCTATACGATGGTCATTTTTCTTCGTGTCGAGTTGTACGAAGTAGCAAGATTTGTTTTAATGCCATCATCCTCCAAATCCAGTCCTTTTTTGCTTGGCTATTAAGTGGTAATTTTTAATTTACCCCAACTCAGTTCTCGCTCTCTACACCACCGAAAAAAAAAAGAAAAAGAAATAATGTTTGCTTGTTCAACATTTCGATTATTAATTGCGGTTCCGCAGCGCTTTTAAATATTGTTTATTTGCCATTATAAATCATGACATTATCATTCGGATACTATGGCTCGGCTGGGCTGTTTGTCGAAACCACAATCAAATCGATATTTGCGGTTGCAATTGATGCTGCAAATGTTTAGTTTTGCATTTGATTCGGACATTTGCTAAATGCATTCGGACACAACTAATTACAAATGTTGCCAATTAAAATACCAAATGATGTGGTTAGTTGGTTGGTTTGGTTTCGTTGGCTGTTCATAGTTGTGCTCCAACGGACTCAATTTTAAATAGGCCTACATTTCTCATTAATTTTTCAATTTGTTTTGTTGTTGCAAAATGATTTTGTGGTCAATGTGACAGGCCAATCTCATGACAAATGGGTAATTTCAATTGTAATAGAAATTGTATTGATGTAATGATTTGTTTTGAATGGGGAGGGGAATGTGTGGAATGTTGTTTAATTAAAATTGTATATGACATAGTATTTGATATAAATATCAGCGGCATGTTGAAATTTCGTATTTAAAATTGCGTACCAACTATTTAAGACTAAGGCATTTTGTACCTAAATTATATAACTTTATCGCTCAGAGGGGTTTACGAACGATTTCTAAACGAGGGGGTTGAATTCGAATTTTAATGATAAAAAGCAGGATGCTATGACATTTGTGGTTTACAAAGAAATTTAATAAAAACCAAAATTTAATTTGGAGTGCAGGATAGATGCACAAAAGGGTTTTTAAAAATTCGAACTATAAGCTTACGAAAATTTCTAAAATGGTACTAAAGTTCTAGTAACTGGTAGCATTTCATATTATGTGAAGGTGGTTTTGGAAATGTGTATTGAATGTGCAAACTACACTTAATGGTACTAAATTTGGAACAGTTTGGTTTAGGGTGAACGGATGAAGCTGAAATTTAGAAAATTTCTATTGGGGTCCCTTTTGGTAGAAGGTTTGTGATAAAGCGGTGGTTTTGGAAATGTGTACTACAAGTGCATGAAAAGTACTAAATAATACTATATTTGGTACAATTTGGTTTTGGTGTACAGGTTGTGCATGCTGCTTGAAATTTGGTATTAGGGTCGCTGTTCATGTGTAGTCTGGACATATGAAAATGTGTACTATAAGTGTACGAAAAGTACTGAAAGGTACTATAATTGGCAATGGGGTGATGGGATAGAGATGAAATTCTGAAATTTAGATTACTGATGGCATCTTTGTCAGTGTTTTAGAAATGTGTCCCATATTTGTACAAAAAGTACTAAATAGTACCAAATTTGGTATTGGTTGAAGGGATAGGGCTGGAATCCTCAAATTTGTTATTGAGAACTGGAATTACGGAATTACGATATGGAGGTGGTTTGGGAAATGTGTAAAGGTACTAAATGGTACTTAATTTTGTATTGGGTGAAGGGATAGATTTGATATCCTTAAATTTGATATTGCGATCTTTGTTGGTATCTGAAATTAAGACATGGAGGTGGTTTTGAAAATGTGTACTATATTTGTACAAAAAGTACTAAATAGTACTAAAATTGGTATTGGGTAAGGGTATAGAGCCGAAATCTTCAAAGTTGTTGGTATCTTGAATTATGATATGGAGGTGGTTTTGGAAATGTGTACTATAATTGTATGAAGAGCATTAAATTTGATGTCACTGTTGTCGTCTGTTTTTAAGATATGGAGGTGATTTTGTAAATGCGTGCCATAATTGTTCGATAAGTCCTAAATTGTACCCTCAGACATATGGCTAGAGAGGACATATATAATTTGATACGGCTAAAACGGACATTATCGAAATAACGGTTTTAGACCCTAGGTCTCTGTGGACCAAATCTGTTTTAGGACATCTGGAGTCGATCTATCGATGTCTGTCCGTCCGTCTGTCTGATGCGCACGATAGCTCTGGAAGGGAATATTCGATTTGGTCCAAGCTTGGTACATCGTAATGTTATTGTCAAACTTAAATCGAGTTCGGAGAAGGGTAATATCGGTCCACTCCTTCTGGTACCTTCCTCACAAAATGTCAAAATGTTCAAAGAAAACAATTTACTGCACATAAAGAGAACGGATAATCCGATATTACATCAACTTTGCAAATTTTTGAATATCCATGA